GGTGGGGGCCCCACCTTGCTGTCAGATGTCTATTCTTAGCCTCTGTCCTTGGCCTACTCCCTGCAGACTCACTCGGGCTAACAGACTGCTGTGGGATTTGAGGCACTTTCCATGGTGTTGCTTGATGGTTGCCATGCCAACAGAATTGAACAGAAATAGAGTTTTCTAGTAGATTACTCTGGCAGAGGCTTTAAAGCCGGATTACAGCTATGACTCTGGAGCCTAAATGATGCATATGATTTGTACTGGCACATGGTGGGGCCGCCATGGTACTTGAGGAAAGACAATGAATACATAGGTTCAATTCATTACATCAGGAACTTGGAAGACAGTAGTAATGGAGAATCGATCTGCTAATTAAAGGCAGTACTTAGGTCAGTATGGAGCTAGTTTACTCACACCCTCCTTGGGAAGTGCTGCGGCCTGGATTTTCACAATGACCTGGCACTCTGTGTGTGAAATGGCTGGTCAGACTCTGAAGGTTTGTTTGCAGGCCTTTGGCTGCTCATTAGCTCTGCAACCCGGCGGTTCTGACTGCACACAGACGTTTGCCCGCGACTAGAAGTGAGGACAAAAAGTCTCCCCTACCCCCAAAATATTAAAAGGTTTATTTATTTTTACTTTAAAGAGAAAAAAATAAAAATAAAAATAACAATAAAACAGAATTTCAAAAAGGTTAGAAGAGTTACAGTAATTAATACTTTGCGGACTGTTGTCTTCCTAGTTCTTCAGAGTACAAGATATAGGCATGATATCCGTTCCAAACTATATTAGCACAAACCTTTTTTTTCAATGAACTGAGAGAGACTAGCCATATAACTATCCTAACTATCTTGTGTATAAATATATTTTTTTCTTTTTTCCTTTCTTCCTTTCCCCCATCACAGTTTGTCTTTTCTTTTGAGTGGTTTCTTCCCAATTCACAATATCTGTTGTACATTTTGAATTTTATGTACTCATTCAGTTTCTCACACTAGTGAGACAGTACGCTGTTTACACATAGGAGTCTGATTTATTTCACTTATAAGTATGGTCTGGAGTTGCATTCATTTACCTATATAAGTCTCCAGTTTATCCTTCTTTATGGTTGAATAGTACTACATTGTCCTAAAAAATCCACAACTTTTTTATCCATTCCTCAGTTGATGGGCATTTGGGTTGTTTCCAAGATTTAGCTATTACAAATTGTGCTGCTATAAACATGGATGCACATATATCACTGTGGTATGATGTTTTTAATTCTTCTGGGAAGAGAATAAAATGCTTAGGGAGGGTGAGGCAGGTGAATGGCATGTTCAAGACCTACCTGGGCAACTTAGTAACTTATTGAGGCCCTGTTTCAAAATCAAAATGAATAAATAAAAATAAGAAGCGCTGGGGATGCATGTAGCTCAGTGCAAAAGCACTGGGTGGGTTCAACTCCCACAACCACAGAAAAAACAAAAACTGCTTAGCATCGCGCCCAGCCCAGAGAAACACAGTGACTGAGGAACTACAGCTGGGAGACAATACACGAAGAGGTGTCGTGCAAGCCAGTGATTCTCGCTTTTGCACCCGACAGAATCAGCCCAAGTTCTTGTTAAAGTCCTGGCAGCAGGGACCCGCCTCCGGGTTTGTGCTTCAGGGGGCTTCAATGAGCCCAATCATAGACTTTTTTTTTTTTTTTTTTTTTTTGTCTTTTTTGAAACAGGTCTCCCTATGCAGTTCGGGCTGGCCTGGAGCTCACTTTGTAGCCCGGGCTGGCATCAGACTCACAATGATCCTCCTGCCTCAGCCTCCCGAGTGCTGGGATTACAGATGTGTGCCACCACGCCAGACAATCGCAGGCATTTCTAACAAGTTCTCAGGCAACGCTCAAGCTGCTGGCGGAGAAGCGGGAGGAGCTGGCGCAAGCGCGGACTCTACGAACCACTGGTGCAAACTGTAAGGGCCTAAACGTCTGTGGATGAAACCTGAATCTCCCACAGTGCAAAACTCGGGACCCTGCACAGAGCCTCGAGGTATCATTTGGTGATATTTATGACATGTGTAGAATGATGAAAGACCCCAGAAAATCGCTGTCCTTTCACTTGGCAGCGGTTACGGCAGGACCAGAAGAAAGCGGTCTCAGAAGCGGAAGGGTTCTGAGCATGAGCTTGTCTTCTCTGAAGGATACTGTGTTTCACTCCGCCGCAAAAGCAGCCAGGTGACGCAGAATGTTCTCGCCAAGAGGACCCAGATAACCCGGGCCTCCATCATGTGCACTAAAGACCGCGCAATCTTTTACTAAGTGAATTAATTGTTGGAGTTCATGTACTTTTGACAGAGAATTTAAAGATAACATCAGTGAAATACTGTACAATATTTTCAATGAGAACATACCCTAGCTGACTCTCTCCATGTATGTATGAGGGTGTTCTCTCGTTTTTACAGGCATACAGGTCCCTCTCTTATCTAGACTTTAAACCCCAGAGTCAGGATTTTATCGTCTGTCTGCCGAGCCGGGGCTCTTAATTACATCGATGTGACGATTCATTTGATAAAAATTTTAAAAAGAATAAAACCCCAAACGAACAACAACACCAGTTCAGATACTTATCGATCCATTCACAGTTCAAGAAAGTCAGCTGAAATGAGTAGTAGCCGCTAAGGACAGTCTCCCCCAGGAATTAAGAAAAGAAAATCCAAGGGTCCCTTCTGTCCTGGTTTCACATTCCAGGAGTTCGACCAGGAGTATCTCAAAGCTGGTTTATAACAGAACGAGAGCCAACAAGCTGAGACTTCAGAGATGCTCGGAAGGAAAGAAACGTCCCTTCAAGATGAGAAGTCTTCATTTCTCTGGGGAAGGGGCACCCCGCAGAGATGAGGGCGCAGGTGGGAGCTTCTCTGCAAACTGTTTATCGGCACCTCCGAACGTCCCTAGCTCTCGTCCGGCCTGTGAACGGAGCTTCGGACCCGACCCCGCGAGGGCACCGGCTGGGCTGCTAGCTCTCTGGGTACTCCGCGCCCGTCCCTTAGGGTGAAGGGGTGCTTACGTAAAACCCCGGCACCCCGCCGGCGGCGTG